AAGTAGACAGTACAAAAAAAATGAAGTAAAGAAAAAATTTTCAAAAGTATTCACCAAAATAAATTATAAGAATCATAAAAAATATGAGAAATTTTCGTGTATACATCAGCCCTACAATGATCAATTGAAAATATTATATTATTGATATTTTTTCTTATTTTAAAAATTGAAACTCACATTGAATATCACCGGATAATTTTTTATCTAAAATAAAGAATTAGTTCTAACAGATAAATCATTATTGAAGAAGAAACCTGTAAGCCAAGGTTTTGTTTGTTCAGATGCCAAACGGAGATTATCATCATCGTATACAATACGACTATTTATTATTTGATCTAATGATTTCAAAAATATTCAAATAAGATTATATCTATACAACAGATAAACATACTACGATGTGGGTGTGGATGCCGGTATGGGGTCTCTTCAAACACAACTACACCCACACACCCTGATAGCTTTATTATTCTTCAACTAATGTTATTCTAATATAACTTGGATAAAAATTGTTTATTATGGGAGGTAATTGTAATACAAGATAAGGTCTTGTCTTCAATATATATTCTCGTTGTTCTTCTTTCGCTTTTTTTCTGTGGTCGATTCTAATGCGTAGCCGTTCATACTAGAGATATGAGAAGTTAAGTTGTTCTGGTCCTAGTTTAGAGAACATGATTTTAGAATTATTTCGAATTACATCTAAAATAAATCTCCAATATTTGTTTTTTTTTCTAAGTTCAGTACTCGATAACTATCAGTTTTATGGATCGTCTCTATTGAACAATATTCTGATTCATATGATCTATAAGATAAGTTAATACAAACAGTGAATAAGTTTTTACTTAAAAATAATTCCTAAAATCTCACACTATATGAATTTGTGCTATTCGATTAAGTCAAACAAAATCAAAGCGATCAAAACAACTCTAAATTCTTGCATCTTGTTGTAGACAAATTTTTGAATTCTTTGAATTAACAAGAATATAGAAGAACGTTCAATAAATCAATTCAACAAATGTAATTGACCTGTATAAAATTTACCAGGACGATTACTTAAATGAAATAAAATTTATTTCTCTTCCAGGTACTTTTTTGTTCTGTATAGACGACTCGGCATTAGAGGTGACGAGAAAAAAAAACGACCAAGGCCATCTAATACAACACCGTCACATGTTATAATAGACAGTTCTTATTGAAATTTTATTATTATTATATTAGCGAAAATGTTGAGGATTGTTCTCACTATCAAATCTATTGAGAAAGTTTTTTAACTTTTTATTACAAAAATAAAATATCTCTGTTGTTGCTATATTATTACATAACTCATATTATAAAAATGTTAGAACCATCGGGATCGGCCAAAAGTGCTCACTTTACGGAGATATTCATTATTGAGAGGCTTTGTTTCTTTTGTGAAAACTGCAAATAGTTATTTACTTGAAAACACTTTCTGATTGAACAAAATGATCTTATTCTTCTTTTCAATAATTTATTCATTCAAATGATCATTTCTTTTTCTGAAGTAACAACTCTTCACGACACAAAATTTTTCTTTTTACTTTATTGAATTGATTTGATTCAAAATCACCCAAATATTCTTGTTTACATTTCAAAATATCAAATACAGTACCTGTTGATATTTTATATTTGGCCGTCTAATTTCTTTGAGATAAATGGCGTTCAGAATCTTTTATTGATTCAGCTTTTTTTAATCAAAGATAAATCAACGTGTAGTGACTTTATTTGATGTTGCTACCTGTTAATACAAAAATGATGGAATATTTCACCAAATAATTCTTTTTTTTTCTTCTAATTATGTCTGTTTAGTCTATTTCATTCTTGTATGTGTACTCTGACTGTTTTTAATAACGCAAATGACATAACATCGTTCTTTTTTCTCGTTCTACGCGTGAGTTATAGAATACATATTGTTCACATTACAGAAGTTGTTATTGTTTATGGGACCAATAAAAAGCGCTCACTGATCAGAATAAGATGCTCATCTCATTTCCAGCAAAATTCGCTCGAGTGAACCATAAACTGTCCAGTATAAGGAGGTGCTTACATATAAGAGTTATACTGTAAACAGCTTATTATTCAAAATACGAATTTTCGAAATGTAGAGATGGTAGGATAATGTAAAGTCTTACCTTTATTAAACGCTGCAGTATATCTATAAATAGATTATGATATATTTTACATGCCTTTCAAGTTGTTGGCATAAAAAAACTTGCATTTTTGAAAGACTTTGTTTTGATATTCCAAAGACATTTCAGGACGCAGAGAAAAAAAAAACTTTTGACATTGAAATCCGCTTTTTTACGATCTTCATCGAATTCGGTATCGTATAAAAATAAAATTAAAACAAATAGATTATGTCAGATCTTTCATTCGATTATGCTTTACAAAAAATCGAGATTTATTGGCTGTGAAGTCCTAATATTGATAACTCGAATTCGGTAGATACCCGTTGAAAATGGGATATGAGTTACGGGGAGAAGTTTATTATAATCTGTATGCTATTGTTACTTACAATCTCATAAGAAATTGAACGAAAACGAACAAAAAATGGATTTTTAAGCGGAGCGAAAGGTATTTTAACATAATTTTAAGACAAAAAGAAAAAGTCAAGAAGAGTATATTTTTTTGTTGCTTAATTAAAATATTTTTTTTTGTTTGATTAATATTTATAACAAAACGTTCAATTAATAACAACTGTCTTCGGTCGATGTGCTTCCTAAATCGATATTATGTTCTGATGTTTCCAAAGCACTTTGTTTGAGAGCAGGAACATTTTGAATTTTTATCGTTTCATCGGATGGTGAAGCTGCAAAGCAAAAACAAACATATTCCATTTAATCAATGAAAATGTGTATATCTCACATGCATCGTTTGTAGCCGGTAGTTCATTAACATGACTCGCTGGATCAAAATGATCAATATTTGAAGTGCAGACAGAGGAATTTTTACTTGTTGTTGCTATTTGATCTAATCATGGTATTATGTTTAAATAAATAATATATATAAAAAAAAGGTTTCACAAACTTTTTTGCTCATTACAATTAGCTGAATCATGTTCATCATAACCATCAGGATGAACTATTACTGGACCTAAAACTCGATCTAATAAAAAAAACATATATATTATGTTAGGTTCATAGTATTGATAAATCATAAATTGTTGTAAAAAAGATTAAGTATACCTGTTGCACCATTATCATCTCTTGGTAGAATCAATTCTTTCGATTGAGTTGATTTTTCACGATTGATGTTATCTTTTAAATAGAAAAATATATAACGAAAGATTCAATTAATTCATATCGAAATATATTACGTACTTAACTTACTTATTGAATCATCAAACATTCTTTGAGGTGCATCACCTTCGTTATTATTTTTAAATTGAGAATCCACGCCTAAATATTTATATCAAATACGTATTATCAATCGTGAAATGTTAAAATAAGAGTTATATTCTTTCTGTTTTGAATTGAAGCGTCAATATTATTATGCGCATTGGTATGTCATATTATGTGCTTTTTTTTCTTTCTTATTACCTTTTATATTAATCTTCTTTTTTTCTGTATTGTTTTCTTTTTTTTTTTGTTAGCGAAATATGAATTAACAAGCTGCTATTTCATTACTAATCAGTTTTATAAGTTTCAAACTTTTACTACTTTATTATCAGTAATAAGCTAAAGAAAAGTTGAAAGTAATAACTAACAATAAATTATTACAGTAAAATTTATTCCATTATTCACCTGGTTATATCCTGTATATCCACTGTTTACTCGAAAACAACAGGAGGACCTCTCTAGGTTTTATTACTCCTCTCTTCGTCGTACTCTATGTTGCCTTGAATGGAATGAAACTTTTTTTTCATATACTCTTAATGAAAGATCCTTGGAAGATCGTTGTTCTATATACTGGAATAGGTATCTCAGAGCTTTATCTAATTCGATTGATGGAAACCTAA